TCCCTATATATATATATACATAATCCCAATATTCCGAACAACAGTAGCCGTCATTCAGTCGGGCTCCTATTATCTAGGTGTGGGCTAGTTATCAACAATGTTTCTTGAGGGGGACCGTTCTCAACACCTGTCAGTGGTGTCCCCTACGAACTTCCAGCTCTCACTGTAGAGTCTGCAGAGCCGAGATTGAGTTACATTTTTTTCAACTTTGAGCTGATTTATCTCCCACTTCGTCAAAGATACGCTTCCGATAACTCATAAGACGAACAAGACGACGATAATAATGCTGAGAATGAGGAAGGATAATGCGGTACCAAACGCTACAACGGTAGTCAGAGAAGCCCTTGTTACATTACAAAATGTGCTACCCACCGGTGGGCGAACAAAAAGCCCACGAAAGCAAAATAGAAGAACCTTCGGCCCCCAAGAAAAGCAGATTTCGACTCGTCAAAAATATAGTCCCTACTAATCTTAACTTCCGAATCTACTAGCTAGGAGGGCATCTGAAATACATAAGTTACTCGACAACTCCACGCCCGTAACGACTCTTGGATTCTAGGCTCTTTCACGACAGTCACTCTTGACCAAGAATTTTCTGACATCTTCACGGCTCTCAGTTTGTCCTGCGGCATGAATCAAGGAAGGAGTAAGGAGGAGGCTAGGAAGGTTGAGAGACGTTCTTAGGTATACACGGATCTGCTGCTCTCGGCTGGCCGGCCTCTTCGTCATAGGAGGGCCCCACACCCAGTAGTTTTTGAGACTATTCCCTACAGCTACACACCCGCAAATGGCCATCGTTTCGTTGGCTAGAGAGGGGATATAATGACGGGATAACGGCTCCTCTAAGTGTATGATCGAATGAAAACCTGTGGAGGTATTACTGCTGGAAAGAAGTCGTGAAGGAGGCATAGGAGGGAGTACACTACCCAAGTCATAGATACTCCCGGCCTGTAGGCAGAAAGGACCTACATGTCCTTACATAGACATAGACTTTATAGGACGACAAACACATACACACACAATTAATGTTTCGTGCACGGGCGGTTCCAGACTTTCAATACGTGCGTAACTTAGCGCTGACACTATGAATATACCAGTGCTGAATAGCACAGGCTACAGGCGATCTATCGACTAACTAGCCGTCACATTTATCGGCCAATTCCAACTGTACAGTTACGATACAATGTATACCCGCAAGGAGGACAATAAGTCACGATGTAATAAGCTTGGATCTTGGCCCATGGGGGGACCAGGGTTATAATGGGGCTTCATATCTTGAAGGAAGTCATTAATGGGCATGCTGGGGCTCAAATTTTTTGAGGGGTTACTGCTTCAGGGTATTTGTGAGCACCGAAGCTACGCTCTTGGATAGTACTGCCGAAACTGTAAATGTCGGACACATTACGTTTGCTTCAGTTGAAAAAGGTATGAGAAGATGATCTCGCTCATTACGACAATGGTCGGCGCAAGTCAAGGTTTTGCCGAAAAAACTAATCTCTTGGTCGATAACACCGGCGGGTTCAAAGTGTTAAGTTTAGCCATGTAGTATGGTTGATCTAGTTGCTGGCGCATAGGTTGTTATTATAGCAGTATGGCTTTTTTTTAAGAATCATTTAATGTGTATTCAGCTATCTAGCTATCACAAATGACCGGTGCTATGCATATATTTTGGATGACTCTTTTGACGTTAGAGACACTCATACTCTGGATTTCATTCGCAAATACCACTATGAGGTATGTTCGCTTACACAAACAGTCGACCCTCCTCCGTTAGTACCCACCAAAGGGAATTTCAAAACTATTGGGTATCCAAGCATGCCTTCATCATCCATGTAAACTTGCGCCGCGAGAGATGTGGTTGTATTTTTCCGGATTCTGTGACGGAAACCGAGTTGGTGATGAATAAATCGATTTAATAAACTATATGAGGAGAAAAGAGAACTCTAGCCACTACTAACAGGTATTTATAAGAGCTGATCCTCCTCGTGAATCTACAGACTAGTGACTTGTCCTTAAGCACAATACTTTATACCTAGCTACGTATATCCAGATGTCACTAAGTTGTAATAACGCTTCAGCCTCCTGACTAGTAGTGCCGTTTCGTTCAGCTTCGTCTCCCCCCATACAACTTCATCGTAAGAATTCTCGATATTAGGCTTAGGAATCTGCCTAAGCTCAAACAACGGTCAAACTGTAACAGATTCGAACAAGTGATCTCTTATCTCAAGTGGGATATGTGTCCTCGCTATCCAGACTCTACTTGGCAGACCAGCCAAGACGATGTACCACCGCACCATCCAACCATGGCAGTTTTTATAGTGTCGCCTGCACTCTCGCAACCGAAGCCTTGGCACACACAAATCTCAGTTTGTAAAGACTCTTTGCCAAAATTCGAAATTCCACGCCCGTCCAGACTGTATCCATCCCTCGCATCATCATGTGAGCTTGTCCTGATCCATCTCACGTTCATCACAAAAAACTTCCTCCCAAATTTGTGAGCCACGATTTTAGTCCTCCTACGGGTATTCGTACTGCCGTGGACATATATTTAGTGCCCGGTTGAGGCCTGAGAATAGTCGATGATCAGTGCGGTCATTGAAATAAAGGTGAAGCTGGCCGTACTTGTCAGCTTGATGAGGCTTCGGTTGGAGTCGATCTCGTTGAGAGGGAAAATTTGACATAGTAGAGTATTTTGAATCATTGCCTCGCGAACCAACTTGTTCGGTATTGCGAAGTTTGACTGAACTTGGATCTGGGAGAATATTTCACTCCCAGGTTCGTAGAGGATACCGCGTACAGATGTTCAGTCTTGACCTCCTTAATACGGTCTCACACATAAATAGCCACTTATTGCGTGATATTGCGTATGTGAAAAGATTCGGTCTGGCAATGACAGGTCATTTGGAACTAGTAACTTTGTTATAGATTTTGACGTTGTTTACTCTATGCAAGGCGAGAGTCGTACTCAGAAGTCTATCATGACAACTAGTCTCAAGCATTAGATATTACACATACTCTGGCAACTTAAACCACGGTAACTGGTATTTAAATATGTATCTCTATTCAGACCAGTCACTGAGATATTTAGTAGTTCAGGCACTTGAGCAGTCCAAATTCGCTTTGATCTGTGAAATCAATTTCATTAATCTTTGTTGCTTATTAATATCGAGAACATGAACAAAAGATGAGTGAGACGTAACTGTAAAGCACAATAAAGTAAGAGTACTCGGTGATAATAGCCGGGTAAGATGTAACATTAATTTTTAACGCCAACAACAACCTCTTGCTACTTTTCAGAAGATTCATTAGTGTTAATCTGGATTTATCTGTAGAGCTATGTCTTTATAAAGACCTACACACTTTCGTAATGTCTACATATAAGTCTTAAACGGGAAGACTAGGACTGAACACCTGTCCGCAGTGTACTTTAAGAACACGGGATTGAAATATTCTCCTAGAGCCAAGTCTTGTCATGATAAGTCAAATTTAGTATTACCGAAGAACTTGACCCATCAAACAATGATTCAAGATGCTCGAAAAAATCAATATCTCACTCCAGACCAGATCGATTCCTACCAAAGCCTCATAAGGTCTACAAGTACGACCTATTACATCCATTACTGACCATATACCTCGTCAAATTGATATCTAGCTTGAAATGGCGCCCACAAGACTATGAATACCCGCTAGAGAAGATAAATTATGGTGCAGAAATTTGGGAGGTAGATATTTAGGATTGGCATAAAAGAAATATGGAGAAGTGGACAATATAATGCTAACTTTGGATGCAATCTCAAAAGGAGTGAAGTATTGAATTCGCCGGAGAATTTTATAAATGGAGCTTCGTACGTGTCAATATTTCGATTTTGAGAGTGCAGGCGACACTGTAAATACCACCATGGTTAGATCCTGTGGTAGTACATCATCTGGATAGATCTAAGAAGTATAGTACTGGTAGCTTAGGCACCTATTCAGCCCAAGACAGGAGATCGATGATTCGAATCCAGCAAAGCTCGAATCAATTTCTGGAAGTGCTGACGTGGATGAATAACAACGGCATTCTTGGATAATCAAAGGCTTTAATATTTACCTTTTATGTGTGCTCAAAGAGGAGGGTCAACTGTTCTATGCAAACGAACATACCTCGTGGTGGTATTTGTAGTTAAAATACAGAATATAACTGGCACTGAAGTCAAAAGAGATATCCAACAATTACACAAGACACTGGTCATGTCCTATAGCTCTATAGCTGAATAAGCATCAAATGATTTTAACGAAAATATGATAGGTGATTAGTCTACGTCTTCCTATCCCAGACTTACCTATATGACTTTTTAGATCTTGAATTAGTTACATTTTATTTTCAGTCCATGATTACTATCTATAGCTCGTAATTACTCACCGTGATGTAGGATGAGTCGCTTACGGCTTTGATTACCGGTTTTAATTCAAGGTGAAGATCAATAGACTTAGAGAAAATAATCTCATTTCCTATTTTGCATACCATAAGCCCTCACGATAAATACTCGTAATACGGTCGTGACGACTGCTGCTTCAATCAGCCGATATGCTGCATTAGTAATTTTATAAGCTGTAGCTTGTGCGTAGGTAAAGTTTCTAACGCATTGGTGCCTCATTGTACAATAAATTCGGTAGCCTCTGGAAAGAGAGATGTTGTTCGTAATCCTGGCTGTGAAACCAATTATAACTTGATAAAGTAGACGCTTGAATATAGAGACAGTTAATACTTGTACATATTCCAATTTAATGATATAGTGATGGCCGTAAAAGATCCGGGATTGCAATTAGAGGTTGCTGATTGAGCTTGTACTAATTTCATAAATCTCCTCATATTTTCTAAAATCCCACTTGGCTTAATTGGTATGGTGGATAAGATAAAGGCGACGACGAGGGCGTAAACTTAGCGTTAGAGGTTCAACAAAGGAATAACATATACGTATACACTCTACAGAATGTTGTACATCATTTTTGTAAGGCGCTTATTCTGTGGGCTCATTTGTTAAAACCAAAGTCGAAACATCAAAATCTTTTGGTTGTTTCCCTTGTATAACGTGTACTTCCTTCCATACACTTTCTACTTTGGAAATTTCTGCTTCTAAAGATGCTAATCTCTCTCGTAGAAGAGTGGTGTGCTCGAAATCAGCGTCTAGTATCGGAAGAGCAAGTTTGATCCCCTTCGTTATCTGCGTATTGTGCATCATCCAAGACATCCACTGTGATATCCTCTGATTTAGAGTTTTTTGTTTCTTGTTGGAATTTATGACATCCTCGGTATCGCTGCTGCTCGTGTTTGCTTCAGTCGGGGTTTTAGGATTTACAAGGCTTTGGGCCTCTTCGACTCCATTAATTGTAGATGGTGGTACTGTAGCTGCTGACTTAATGACAAATTCGGTGCAGTACTTTTTAACTTTGCCATCCAGGTCTACGCCTTCTTGAAACTTTGATGCCCTCAAGGCGATAATAGCAACCATCATGCCCAATATTTCTGGTAGGTTGCGGTAGTCATTACTAGTGTCTAGGTACCGCTTTCCAGTGAACTTCTCGTCTTCCAACATGTCGAGCAGCTGCTCCGCCATGGATAGAGTTTTATTTATGCTTTCAAGAGTCTCGTCTTGCTGAGATGCTTTGAAGTAGATCCAGAACATGACATTTTTGGTTAGGCCAGCGTCGCTAAGATCCATGCCAGTGTTTTTTGTTCTCCTTAAGCATTCAAGTGTAACGTTTTGTTTTCCAGCCAGTCCAGCTTTGCGAACAATTTTTTCAGCGATAGGCAGTTTGATTTTGAAGCCAGTATTTTTTAGACCGTGAAGTACGTTTGGAATCACAGCCCAATCTTCCTTGTTCTTTATAAGGTCGAGCACATCGCTAATGAGTAATTTTAAGCGCGGAGTATCTTTTTTTATGTCGATATGTTTCAATATAAACTCTTCTTCTCCTATGTTGGCTATTACATTTTCACTTTCAAGCTTAGATTGGTGTTTTTTCTTGTACACTAGATCTTGTTGATATTTGGGAAGATGCTTAGGAAGAACGGCATTTTCACGAAATCTTGTTAGGAGATCTTGAAGTTCAGGATTTGCTACAACGGACATTTTTGGAACAAGACCTATTCGCGGGTTACTTGGTTGCTGGTGCATAAAATTTAGTCCTCTCACCTAGCTTCTGTAACCTCGTCGAGGTTGAAAATCCCCTCCATTGAGTTGCCGAGGATCGTATAAATTTGAAGGAAATATGGGCGCTCATACTGGCTTAGAGCACACAGGCACACTAACTTAATATCAAGTTAATTGCAGTATGTAGAATCGATGTTTAAGGTAAAGTATTTACTACCTTCTATACAAAATTTGACCCTTTTTTTTCCGCCAATCATATTTTAGAGATTTTAAATTTTGACGCTATTTGCTACGAGGCTGAACTAAATCAATGTTGCCGTTAGAGGGCTATATTGATAGGAGGTCTCGGAGGGCAAGACTGAACACCTGTACGCGGTGTCCTCTACGAACCTGGGAGTGAAATATTCTCCCAGAGCCAAGTTCAGTCAAATTTCGCAATATCAAAGAAGTTGGTTCACAAGGCAATGATTCAAATTACTCCACCATGTCAATCTTTCACTCCTAAAGAGTCCGATTCTCAACTAAGCTTCATCAAGTCTACAAGTACGAACTAGTACATCCTCATTCCAATGATCACACCTCTCGTCGACTTTCTCTGGTCTCAGTTGACCACCAAGTACACGCTCACGCCGATATTTATACCCGACGGAGTAAGCAAAGCGTGGTGCACAAATCTGGGAGATGGCTCTTTGGGGATGGACGTGAGAGGGATCAGGACAAGTTTACAAGATGATGCAGAAGAGGGATACGTTTTCGACGGGCGTGAAATTTCGAATTTTGGCAAGAGTTTACGAATTGAGCTTTTTGCGCGCCAAGACTTCGCTTGCGAGAGTGCAGCTGACACTATAAAAACAAGCCGACGATGGAAGGTGTTGTGATCCGCCTCCTGGTGGTGTTCTCTAGTATAGTTTGAGTAGCCTGGACACCTACTCCACTAGGGAAGGAGACATCTCAGATTATATTTCGCGCGGAGAAAGGTTGATGGATGACGGAGGCATGTCTGGATAACCCAGGGTTTTTGAGATGTTCCTCTGGGTGGGTATCGACGGATGAGGGTTGACTTGGGGTGAAGAAAAAGCCGCCATAACTTCGCAGTGGTACTTGCAAATGAAATCCGAGGCATGAGTGCTCCTCTTGTAAATTGAGTCATCTTTTCTGTACTTTTCTCTGATATTGTGCCATAGCTAGATAGCTGCATACGCAATTAAAATCTGATGCAGAAAGAAAAATAGGATGGAGGTAGCTACACGGCTCGCTTGGAGTACTCTGAATAACCATATGATCCCCACAATCTACGCCAGAAGTAGCAGATGTATTTTCTATAGAAGTTTCAAAATCAAACTCTGACACATCCAGACTGAATGGTTTTTAGGGAGATAGACTTATTATCTACTGTAAACGTATGATTGAAAAGGGCATTTACTCGAAGACTGAGAAATTCACTTTTAACCACTATCAGGGATGAAAATCAATTCCTCTAAAGTGTGTCAGGATCGGAGATGTCTTATATTTCTGCTCGTAAACCAATAGACTGAACAATCAATAATTATGAGCGTCCAATTACATCCATAAATATTTAGTGTCAATCGTTCTAACTGAGTTGTGATTATTTCGACAAAGTTCGTTTGTAATCGTACTACAAGCTTAATTCGATAATCTAAACCATAGATTTCATTAGGGACTGGTAATCCTCACAAGCCGATGAGAATCATTCTTGTGACTCCTTTTCGGCCAAATTTGACCTATTTATCAACGCTTGCGCAATAATATAGATTTTACTAGCGATGAATGTCATTGCATCCGTCACACAATCGCGTGTGATACACGCGACACCATCTATTATGGCCCGTCTTGCCTCAACTACTCTTCCATGCATGAATTGCTGGGGCTCCATGATGCGACTCAAAGGGCCAAGTGAATTATATCCCCGATTCTTGACAACTTACCACAAAGCCGTGAGCTTTTCAAAAGTACAACTACCAGCCTCTGGTCAACCTACACAGCGTATGCTGCTCACTCCAAGTCCTTAAGTGATTATAACCTAACATTAGGTAGCTGTTAAGAAGATAAAAGTCTATCCACCTCCGCCGTCGCCGGCCCAAAAATTCAAAGAGCCTATCAAAGACTTAACAGCCAGCCACATTGCAGCGCTAGATCCGACGGGGGCGCGCACGAATCTCTTCATTCGTACAAACCCAGAAGCCGCGAAAGTAGGTGATGTACTGCTCGTCCGCCCTACAAGTGGCAATCCATTTGCCGGTGTTTGTATCAACATTCGTCGCCGCGGCGTAGACACGGCTATACTGCTGCGTGGACAGTTGACACGCGTTGGAGTTGAAATGTGGTACAAAATCTACAGTCCTCTGGTCGAAGGTATCGAGATAATCCAGAGACGAGCCAAGAGGGCGAGAAGAGAACGCTTAACCTACATGCGCAAGCCAAAACACGACATGGGAAGCGTGCAGAATCTTGTGGTAGCTTATATGAAGGCTAAAGGTGCTATGAGGATCGGCTCATCGCGATCTAATCACAGCGGAAAGAGTCAGGGAAAAAACAGTGGGAAGGGCAAAAAATAATAGCCGATCACTAGATGGAAATTTCCACACTCTACAGGGAGAATGAGAGCGGATCCGATGCGCTTTGGTTAATAATTTTTAAAGTACTTGTAAAAAACAATATGGTCCAGAAATCTTCAATGAACCCTTCGAAAATCTCGATAACAATCCTTATTAGCAATGAGCACCAATTTCTTGTTGAATCTCGCGTGATGAGAGTTGATCTTGTATATATGGCAGTAACAGGTACGTAGATGATGTAATTAAGAAGTCAATGATAGCGCGTGGAACATGAGGCTTCATGGGACAGAAGACCCATAGAAGAAAACATGAACCAATAGGAAATGAATGAAGTACCACTCTAATGGTACTAAGCCCATTTCATCTATTAAAAATTAAGATGGAACTCCGCAAAGATAAGTAGTAATACAAGAATATATCAAGCTGATTTACTGGATCATGACAGATTTTTACATTCAGAAATTTTAATGGAGCCTATTATTCAGGTCATTAGAATAGGTTTTTACTACGAACCAGGCTAAGATGAACCTCAATTTGTCAAGTAGGAATACCAAGTATAGGAGCCTCAACCAAGTCGAAAAATAACCTACGCAGTATGAGAAGCTCGCGTTGTCTACATATCTTGAACAGAGATAGTCTTCAGGCTGATCAGCCTTAATTGATACTGACTCTAGCAGTCGATATTATCTTGTGGTTATAAAAAGGGGGTTGGGTAATAGAAAATCTCTTTAATACCGACCTAAGACAATTGTGAAAACTTTTCTATATATTTACAATACCTTTTGCCGGCAAAGACGAATTCTTCACCTTCCAGTGGTGCAGGTGCAATCGCTCAGTATGCTCTGCATATCTGGGATAGCCAAGAAGAATCGCATCCGAATCCAAGTCGAAAGCAACCTCATACACATCTCCATCTGACAACTTCTCGCCAATGCCTCTCTTATCATTATCATCTGAGTCCTCAACCCATCCCTAACCACGCATCATCTCGCCTCAACGACAAATAATAAAGTTGCTCCAATTGCATACAGGAGCTTGCCCCATTGATCTCCAGCCATCACTCACTACATATTTACGACGCTATTAATACCCGCAAGGAGGAAATCAAGTCGAAAAATACAAAGCCTGGGTCATGGCTTATGGGGGACTGTTGCTCTAATGGGACAAACAACTTGAGGACGAACAGGCAGCTGACATGTGGAGCGAAAGGGGAAAGACGTCTCTGGAGAGCATGCCGGGACCGATATTTTCGAGGAGTTTTCAACTTTGGATTTTTTGTGGGCGCCAAGACCTAGACTTCGGCTAATTAGCCAGGAGGGCTTCTTTTGTAAATTAATCAACGGCACTCCCCAGCGCCCTGGACGGTACAAAAGAAGTTGGGCTAAGCTGCCATACAGCAATCACGCTCTGTCAAGACTTTTCTGACATTTCAGCACGACCTTCGGGAAGGAGTTGGAAGGAGGCTAGAAAGGTAGAGTGTGAATTCTCCGAGGTACCCACAAGTCTGCAGCGCCCAGCTGGCCGGCCTCTCCGAACCCTTCAGAAGGGGCAATATGTCTTCGGATTTAGTCCTAATGTCGGTATTAGGAGAGCTCCGCACCCAGTGGATTTTGCGATTTTTCTCGGCTGCCATACACCCGCAAATGGCCATCTTTTTATTGGCTGGAGGGGGGAGATAATGAAAGTCAAAGTGCAAAGGGCACCTCTAAGTGTATGATCAAATGAGGACTCGTGAGGGAAGGTACTGTTTGAGGGTAGCTGTATGGGAGGCATAGGAGGGGATATACTACTGGTATAGGTAGCCTTGGCCTATAGGCAGAGAGGACCTACATGTCCTACATAGTCATAGACTCAGACAGTACAATAAAATGAATTAATAATAAACAAAACCTTTTGCTCGTTTTTAAGCCATTACGAGATCTGCAAGATGTGATGTTTAAAATCATGTGATATCTCTCTGATAGTATCACGTGTATAGTTTCGAATTTTACACTCTTACGAATTGTGAAATATTCGGAAGATAAATGTTTTTGTTTTTGAGCATTTCTTGACCTAATGAGTGTATGACAATACGAGGACATGTAGGTTCTCTCTGCCTACTGGCTGGGGGTATCTATGCCTCGGGTAGTGTTCTTTCAGTTGGAATTTCAGGGCTTGATCCTCAGGATCAACCACAATATAATTGTAATATTCATACTGAATTTGATATCATTATCCTGATTTGGCGCCCTATGGACCCATGCAGGTGTCTAAAATCTGTAGTATTCACATGGGAGGAAACTTTGATGGTGAAAACCCCCCACACCTTTCGGCTTGTTAACTAAAGTTTTTACACACTTTCTTCAGGAAGCGCAGTTTCACTATGGTGCCGTCCATGTAACCCAACCAGATACACTGATATGGATGGCTATTCATCAAGGGGAACATATCAATGATCTTTCAAGTAACAAAAGAGGATATGAGCATTGTACAAGGTGTGGCCTGGGTCAGAGAGGAGCCCAATGAGCTGGATATTCATAGACTCAAGTAGTACAATAAACATAAACACAATCCAACCAGATCTTCTCTGACCGCCCCAAGCATTACTTCACCTGTTACTTTCACTCAGTGTTAAGGGCGAAGAGGATTACAGACACTGCACGTAAACAGTACCACAAAAAATTAATGTTTTTCTAATGAGATTTACTACAGGAAGTGCTCTGCATTAAATACGCTCGCTGTAGGCACCAGTAATCCAGTCTCCCGACACATATTCTTTTGCTACTAAGTGATCTGTTAATCAGCCTCAGCCTAATTAACCGAGTGATTCGAGTTGGGAGAAACTCTACTAAAGATCACGTGGTTAGTGTTCTTATCTTGTCTTGTCTTGTGCACTTACGTGCTAGGTAAAGTGATTCCAGTTGCACTCCTACTGGAGCTAAAGCACGGGTGGGGCCAGGCTGGATCAGGTTAACTACCATTAAGTACATCTACCTCGTCCCACCTAAATGACCGGACCACCTCAGACTTCACCCATGTGTTGAATCATGTCAAGCCCAACCGTCCATAATACCCCCTTTTGGCGCGCCGAAGCGCTAATTCCTCCTCAGCCTCGGCCACCACGCGCCCCAGCCCTTGACACCTCCGCGATCTGTACCTTCGACTTCGACTCATTCCTAGCTTTGGCTCATCTCAGCATCTCCTCATCTCATCCAGGTGTCGTTTTCTTCACTGGAGGCCTCATCCAGTCGCCCACCAAGGCCTCCTCAGTTTATGTTCCCTTTTGGTTCCTTCATGTAGCATCCCTCTATCCTTCAGCCGATCTCGTCATCCCAGAAACTTTGTAGAATGTCCACCCCTCCGGCCTTGCCCTGTCGCTGCCGTACCTCTAACCATGGAGGTCGAAAACGCGACTGAGAGCTCAAGACCGAGGCACCGGTGCCCCAGACTTTGTCGAACGCTCTGTTGGTGTGCCGGCGAAATGTCGTACGTATTTCGTCGGTGGCGATTCGTCGCATGTCGAGTTGTTGGTGCCCTTGGCCGAGTTGAGGACGCATTTAAGGCCGGTATTTCGACCGTACCTTCACAGCGACTGGCAGTTGTGTAGGGTAGGACATCCTCTTGCTTCTTTAATGACGATTTGGCTTTTGGAGGTATGAGATTGCTTTGGTAGGTGATGAGATGATTGTGGAGAGGGCCGCGAGATGAGTTTGGCTGGGAATGATTTTCCAGAGAAAAGGAAAAAAGATCATGAAGATGTCGATTTTTGCGATACGAACATCAGACAGGTTATGGCCTGTCTGCGGTTTGTATCTGGGGTGTAGATGGGTGATTTCGTAGAGTTGTGCAGTCGTGAAATCTCTGCAAGTCGGATTTACGACCAAAAATGAGCCAACATCACTCCTCCCGATCGCCAACTCGACGAAAACTCTCAAATTTACCTTGTATCGTGACTGAATCTCGGCTCTGGAAGAATATTTCACTCTCAGGTTCGTAGAGGACACCACTGTGTTATCCTTTTTATATCTCCAGGATTGTTCATCATCGCTTCGTAGGACCGATCTTTGGCTTGTGTTCAGATCGCAGCTCTACCATTTGACCATTGGGGGCAGGACATAATCATATGCTTGGGGTTCTGTGATCAGTAGCCACATTGACAACCTGGACATAAAACGTCGAGTACTTTTCTTATATCTAGATACGAGTTGAGCTCCATGTGCTCACAGCGAATTTGCATTGCTAAACTACTTTGGGCCATAGCTAGGTTACATTGTACAAAAAATGGTGAATCTGTAAGACACAGTTTTTGCCGTCCAGATCTTGAACTTTGATAAAATTTGGCTATTCTCCAAGTCTCGGAATATGTATATGACGGAAACCGAGTTGGTGATGAATAAGTCGATTTATGAAACTATATGAGGAGAGAAGAGATCTCTAGCTACAACTAACAGGTACTTATAATGACTGTTCCGCTGCGTGTATCTACTAACTGATGGCTTTCCTCCAGACATCATACTCGCTAACTAGCCACTTATCGTTGGGCGTTACTTAGTTGTAACAGCGATCTAGCGTCCTGATTAGTATTATCGTTTCGTCTAGTTCCATCTTTCCCTCCCCGTGCGACCTTAATGTAAACAATCTAAGTATTATGCTTATGTATCTACCTAAGCTCATACAACGGTCAAACTGTGACAATTGGGCTTCATTCGTACAGGCATAGAAGAAAAGTACCAGGAGTCTACGATCTATGCTGTCCGTGTCGCTACCAATCATAAAATCCCAAGCACATGATCATGTCCTGCCCTACCGCCGCCATTGTGACTTCACTTAGGTGATGGTAAAAATATATATAAATATAACTTCATTCTCTATTCTATTCAAAGAAAGCTAGTAGTACATATTTGAGTCTTAGTAATCTAATCCATGCTTTTAATCTAAGTGTTGTGCTGGTGATGCCAAGGATTACGATGCACAAGGGTAATGGTTACTGAGGGTGAAGAACTTTCCAGGTGGCTCCGTGA